AAAAGTAAAATACAGAAAAAGTACCTAATACTAACGGTTTGTATCGAAGAAGAATCATGCATGCTCAAATTCTATAATCAATTAATCTTGCAAGCAAAAATTAAAAGCTAGGCATGCAAATATACAATGACAATAACTGAGTTGAATCTCATTAAAGTAGGGTCTGGGGAGATAGCATGTACGCGGAGCTTATTAATTACTTGTACTTGAAAGTAGGGATCAGAGATAATTTCTAAAGAGACCCATCATGAGCGTCGAAAGTTATATTATATTGAGTAACGAACTCTGATTTCACTATTAATAGAGAAAGTACAAATAGTTTTAAAAAATTATTTTATTTCATCATATTTCAAAGCTAAAAAATTAAAATGGCGAATCTTTCGCCTCATCATATAATACAACAAGGCATGCAAATGTATTTCCATATATTCTCATTTACTATAATAATTACTATACTATTACACCATTTTAATTTATAATTTCTATATGATCTTGTTGCATGCGATTTTTTATGCAAACATAACTACGAAAAAGGAAGCCTAAGCCTTTTGTCTTTCCCTATATATATAGTCCCCATCAATCATTCACAAATCATAATATACATATACATTGAACATGCACTATTAGAGATCAATAATTATATATTATTATTACTTTGAGAAAATGCACCCGCAGTTGGATCAACCAGATTTAAGAGTCCCGGGACCAAACTCAACGTACCGTCCTCCTCCCCATGCCTTCAACAACACATTCATTTTCAGAACCGGTCTAACGATAGTATTCCTACTGCTCGTAGCAGCGTTGCTCATGATCCTCGGCTTCGCTTGTCGACATCAGCTCAAGCAAAGAAGGGGAGATGATACATTGTCGCCACGGCGACCCGGACCACCACCTTTGTCTTCTTCTGCAGCTGCAGCAGTACCCGCGCATGCAATCCCCTAATTAATCCCATCTGCTTTTGCTTTATGTTTTATATTATTATGAAGAATGAATATTTTATGGTCAATCCATCAATTAGACTCCATTCCATTCAACTTATTTTTTCTGATCTAATCTAATTTTTTGTACTTCTGATCTAAGCTGATCTGATTTTATCTGATTGGATGTGATCTGGTCTGATCTAATCTGATTGGATCTGATCAGATCTGATTGAATTTGATAGGATCTGATTGAATCTGATCTGATTTGATTTGATTAATTATGATTTTATTTAAAATTCAAATCAATAATTTGATCTGACTTTGTAATAACTTTTAAAAATTGTAATGATAATTCAAATTATAATATAATCAACATTTTTATTTTATGATTAATTTTTAATGAAATAAAATTAGTTAATTCATATATTAGAATAATCATTCATATATTATAATGTAATAATATAATGTAATAATATTATTTCATTCATATTTTATAATGTACTCCCTCTGTCCCATTTTAAATTGCATGTTTGCCTTTTTTCTCCGTCCCAAAATAAGTTGTCTGTTACTTGTTTTCGTAAACTTTTAAGAGTAAAATACCTAAACTACCCCTAAAATTAGTCATTCTTCACCACCTTATCTTCTTATTCATTGTCAACCCTTCTAAAAAATAATGATAATTTCGAAAAATCAATTCTATTTTTTCTTTTCCTTAAATATGCCCAAAAGTCAAAACGGGCAATTTAAAACGGGACGGAGGGAGTAATAACTTTAGAAACTCAAATTACACGTAGCAATAAAAATGTATTCTAAAAGTAGAATTAGATTGACATATTTAGTGTATTTTAAAAATAGAATTAGATTGACAGTGTCAATGTGTTTTAAAAATAATCTTTCCAACGTCTAATAATTAAGGATTACTTTCTCAGTTTTCTATTTAACTTGTTTCTAAAGTTTATTCTTTTTTACTTTTTTAAAAAAGTGCTTCATATCATTTTATTTTCTCTACATAAATTATAATCGCACAAAAGTTTCAGTTTCTTTCTTCTTATATTTTTTCAAGAAAAATTAAATTTATTTTTTGAAAGAATCGTATCAAGTGAAACAAGTAAAAAGTATGGAATTTAAAAAGTATGGAGTAATAGCGAGAATGATAATGATAATGATAATGATAATGATAATGATAATGATAATGATAATGATAATGATAATGATAATGATAATGATAATGATAATGATAATGATGATAATGATGATAATAATAATTCCTAATAATAATAATAATAATTCTTGATTAGATCTGATCTGATCTGGTTTGATCTGATGAGATCTGATCTGATGAGATCTAATCTGATCTGATTAGATCTGATTTGGTCTGATCTGATCTGATCTGATTTTAAAAAGAATAAGAAAAAAACAAAAAAAAGTAAGTTGAACGGAACGGGGCCTTTGTATGGCTTTATTTCAATAAGATTATATATATACTCCCTCATTCTATAAAATTTCTTCTCATTTGATTTTTTCTATCAAAGTTTGTACACTTTGAACTTCATATGAGAAAAAAAATACAATGTGTTATGATATAAATGTAATATCAATATGTTTTTTTAATATATAGTTTTGAAATACCCATAGTATGAAATGTTTATCAAATACTTCATATATATGTATGAATATGAATACCAGTGGTCAAAGTACAATAACACAGTCCGTAAAAAGTTGAATGAAAAAAAAATTCAAGACGGAGAGAGTAATGGGTATGGATGAAATATACTAGCACTCCCTAGTTCCTCATAGTTATTAGAGATTTAATTATAAAACTTACTAATATATGACAACATTAATATTTTTGTTATTATTTGTTGTTGTTCTTTTTATTATTATTACATTCAGAAAATGCATCCGTAATTGGATCAATCAGATTTAAGAGTCCCAAAACTTAACTCAACTCATCGTCCTCCTCACCATGCCTTAAATAACACATTTTCTTTCAGAACCACTCTTATGATAATATAGACTACTTATGTAGTATGTGTTAATCATACAAGTGCTCCCCTTCTTCTAGGGTGTTGCGCCTAGCTCTTTTATAATTGAACATGGGCCATAGGGTTACGGTTCCTCTAACGGGCTTCTTCCATTGATCGGGCCCAATACCATACATGCACGAGATGTAGTATCCCTTCTATATATAGTCAACATCAATCATTCACAAATCGCAATATATAGATATATATACATTGAACAAGTACTACTAAAGATCAATAATTTTATATTATTATTACATCTAGAAAATGCATTCGCGGTTGGATCAACCAGATTTAAGTCTCGGGACCAAACACAATGTATTGCCCTCCTCCCCATGCCTTCAACAACACATTCGTTTTCAGAACCGGTCTAACGATAGTATTCCTACTGCTCGTAGCAGCGTTGCTCGTGATCTTCGACTTCAGTTGTCAACGTCATCAGCTCAAGCATAGAAGGGGAGATGATACATTGGCGCCACCCCCAGGTGTTGGACCACCGCCATCTTTTTCTGCTTCAGCTGCTGCAGTTATACGTGCGCATGCAATCCCATAATTAATCCCATATGCTTTTGCTTTATATTTTATATTGTTATGAAGATGGAATATTGTATGGTCAATTCATCAATTAGTATGTCTCTAGTTCAATAAGAATATATATACTCCCTCAGTCTCGAAAATTTCTTCTCATTTGATTTTTTAATCAAAGTTTGTACACTTTGACCTTGATATGAAAAAAAATACAGTGTGTTATGATACAAATGTGATATCAATAGATTTTTTTAAATATATAGTTTTGAAATACCCGTAGCATGAAATTTTTATAAAATACCCCATATCTATATATAACTGTGGATACCAATAACCAACAATAACAGAGACTGTAAAAAATTGAATGAGAAAAAAAATTTGAGATAGAGTAATATATTGGGTATGGATGTAATATACTTGAACTCCCTAATTCGTCATAGTTATTAATGATTTATAAAAGTTACTACTATATGGCAACATTTTTGTTATTATTTGTAGTTGTTCTTTTTATTATTATTACATTCAGAATGTGCATCTGCAATTGGATCAATCAGATTTAAGAGTCCCAAAACCTAACTCAACTCATCGTCCTCCTCACCATGCCTTAAATAACACATTTTCTTTCAAAACCACTCTTATGATAATATCAGACTACTTATGTAGTACAAGTTAATTATACAAGGAGGCGTGCTTCCCTTCTTATAGGGTGTTGCGCCTCTTATAATTGAATCGGGGCTATAGGGTTACGGTTCCTCTAACGGGCTTCTTCCATTGATTGGGCCCAATACGATACATGCACGGGATGTACTATCCCATTAGTAGTATTTGTTCATACACACATTTTCTCAACCTATACACTGAAGCACTGAGAGTTATCGTCAAACAAGTTTGAGTCTAAGGGGAAAGGCATCTAGGCATATTAGAGTTACACTTCTAGGAAATATTCCCATGGCTTTGAAAATCTGTAAGCTCTCAATCGTTAATGGGCTCCCGATGGAGACGAGGTTCCCTAGTGCAGATAAATTGGTCGGTCAAATCTGAGTTCAGATTATATCATATTTATATAAGTTTGTATTCACGTTGAAAACTGTATCTTCATGGTTCAGTATCTTTAGTATCGGGTCAGCCGAATAGTTTATAAGTATCATTTTTAGAATATTTAAATTTATAGTAGCATTTGCATTTGGTACTAAAAAATCATAAAATTCCAAAATACATAAATTAAACCCATTAGATTATTTATTTTGAATTTTTTTAGATACATTTAACAATTTTATGAATAATATAAAAATATTAAATATGTACCAATTTGAAAAAAATGTAGATAACTTTATGATACTCGTATCATTTAAAACTTCTTTGAAATATAAGTTCATACACTAAAAATGAGTAATAAGAAAAAAAAAATTCGGGGGACAGTAAAGTAGGATTCGTGTTCAGTCGAAATTGATCCAGCAGTTAAAAAAAGAACGGGATCAATTTTAGACCAATTTGAAGTTAACAGATCTCTGGCCTATTGAGAGCCATAAGGAAAGGGAAACCCTAACCGACTTTCTTCTCACCGTTTTATAGCTCAGCCGCTCTGCGTTCCATTTTTCAATCCCTTCCCATCTCCGCCGCAGAGAACCAAAATGGGTCGTGTCATCCGAGCTCAGCGTAAGGGTGCGGGATCGGTCTTTAAGTCCCACACCCACCACCGGAAGGGGGCGGCGAAGCTCCGCGCCCTGGACTACGGCGAGCGGAACGGCTACCTCAAGGGCGTGGTGACCGAGATCGTCCACGACCCCGGCCGCGGCGCGCCTCTCGCCCGCGTCTCCTTCCGCCACCCCTTCCGGTATCAGAAACAGAAGGAGCTCTTCGTCGCCGCCGAAGGGATGTACACCGGACAGTTCTTGTACTGCGGTAAGAAGGCCTCCCTCATGGTCGGAAACGTCCTGCCTCTCGGATCCATCCCGGAAGGTGCCGTAATCTGCAACGTCGAGCACAAAGTTGGTGATCGCGGTGTCTTCGCCAGGGCCTCCGGTGATTACGCCATCGTCATCAGTCACAACCCTGACAACGGCACTACTAGGTATACATACATATCCATCTTTTATTACTCAGGAATTGATGCGGTTGTGATCTGATTCAGGTTTTCATCATTATCCTGAAATTGTGATTTTTCCTTATCTTTGTTTATTACTTATAACCATGATTTTAATTACCTTTGAAATTTACCAAACTAAGTTATAGGTCTATAAAGTGCCCCTCTGGTCACAAAAAGATTTGTTACAATTACAGAAATTCTTGTACCAAAGACATCTTTTATCAGGTCTTGACAGTTTTTTGGATAGTTTGCAAAAAAAAGTTGTCAACCAAGTGTCACATGATGAATCTGGGGAAAAAACATATCATACAAGCTTCTTAAATATCTCAGAAAGTTTTTTATCAGATAATGCATCACTAAAATGATCTTATTACTGAGATTTAATATCTGTTATTCCCTCTTTCCACTTGCTGTACTGATGGCTGTATTCTTTTGTAGCAATTATAGTGAATCTTCTACTCTTTTCTTCCATGTAATTAGATCATCCTATGCTTCTGATTGTACAGAATCAATGCTCCCATTGGGATTCAATTCAAACCTATGATCTCTTGTTTGGGCAGCCACATTATTGTCGCTTGACCCCAAGGCCCTTTAGTCCTTGTTATTTCATTACACGACACATTATTTTTGTTAAGTAATCATGTGACATTATAAAAACAGGATAAAGCTTCCATCCGGAGCAAAGAAGATTGTGCCGAGCAGTTGCAGGGCCATGATTGGTCAGGTAGCAGGAGGTGGGCGTACAGAGAAGCCGCTTCTCAAAGCAGGCAACGCATACCACAAGTACCGGGTGAAGAGGAACTGCTGGCCTGTGGTTCGTGGTGTGGCCATGAACCCAGTTGAGCATCCCCACGGTGGTGGTAACCACCAGCACATTGGTCATGCCAGCACTGTTCGCCGCGATGCCCCACCCGGGCAGAAAGTCGGGCTTGTTGCCGCCAAGAGGACTGGTCGTGTTCGTGGTCAAGCTGCTGTTGCAGCTGCTAAAGCCGACAAGGGCTCTTAGGTTTCAGGTTTATTTAAGTTGTTATAAGATCAGTAAAAGGGATCTTAGATTTCAGGTTTATTTAAGTTATTATAAGATCAGTAAAAGGGAGGCAGCTACTTCTCAATTTACAAAGAGGGTCACATGAGCTTGGGACCAGGCAGCCTTCTGGATTTTAGTACTTTTCTTTGGATCTTTGCTTTTAACATTTAAACTTTAGGAGTACTTTTTTATGGGTTTAATATTTTCTCTGATTTGCAAAATATTACACTGAATTTTTGCTTTCTAAATTTGATTTTCTAAATTTCCTTTTCATTGCAACTTGCAAGGCATAGGGAGTACATTATTAAATTAAATTGCTCCTTTCGTCTCAGTCCAAGATAACTATTCAGCATTTACTATTTATAAAGTACATGATAAAATAACATTATTATCACTTTTAAATCTATAGAACTCTTGATACTGTTTTAACACTCTCTGTATAAAAAAATGCAAAGATTTCTTCTTTGGGCATTTCAAAAAAATTACTCTTCTTTTTAAGAAAATTTTGAGTGGCTTATAATCTCTCTCTCAATTGCATTACTTTTAATCATACATTATGCGATCAACTACATGAAAACTAATAAACATGCCTATCATTAGTGTAGATTTGGTAGGATTTTTTCATAGTCATGTAGATATGTCATTGGTTAAAATCTTTTGAGGAATATAATTGTCTCAAAATTGATCCTTGAATAAATTTAGATGCTATAAAATTTTGTAGATAATCACTGTTAATTTTTTGTCCGTGCATCGCACGGGTACGAATCTAGTGAGTTAAAAAGTTAAATGATTTAAAAATTTATTTATATATAATTAATATAAAATAACATTATATATTCAAATGTATAATCACTTCGAATATGGACAATGCTGAATTTTTTTTTATCCAAAATTAAAGTTTTCTTGCATGTTTATTTGTATAATTAATTAATTGAGTAATTTTATAATAATTATATTTTTTAAACAATTTCCAACTTAGAGTTTTTTTTTTCAAATTTTAAGTCTTAACTTTCTTCTAAATTCTTCTAATTTTTAATTTTGATATTTCAACTCAAAAAAAATAGGAGGGTGTGGCTAATTTTAGGCACAATATTTTATCTGTCTCATAAAATACTTCAATTTTGTTTAAATGGACACAATTGACCTTACTATTCTTAAATCTAACCAAATGTATGTTAACTACTTTCTACGCTCTATTCATTTTGACATTTTCCGAACTCAATTTAATTGTAGTCGTTTTGCCTTGATCAAATTTCTACATCTTTCTCTTGAAAGTCAAACTTAAAAAAATCCTCCCAGGTGTAGGAAGTAATATGTATGAGAAAATATCAACAATTGCATAATCGTGATGATGACTTAGGTGCCCATTTTTGGAATTTTGGAGCACAAAGTTGGAGTATTTTTTAGTCGTTACCATAACTAATACTTGGTGCGTCCCTGAGTGTTTGTCCACTTTTGACTTTTGGAACTGTTCATCTAAGCACTTTGACTCATTAAAATTTCTCAATGTGTAAGCCTAAAAATAATCATGTGTGATCTTGTTTGATTCGTCTTAACATATAGATTATTAATATATAATTTTTATAATTTTTTAATATACAAATTACAAGATAAAATGGATTAAAGAAGTGCATTGGATGGTGTGCAAAAATGAAAGTGGACAAACACTCAGGGACGGAGGGAGTACTCCGTAGCTCTTATTATCATTGACTTTGTTAAACTACTAGATTCATACCCGTGCTATGCACAGTCAAAAATTTTCATTTTCTTATTTAAACTATGTAGTTAAAATTAATTGTTAATGAAGTGAAAGATACAGATTTTTATTGTAATATTATCACTATAATAATTTTCTTTTTAGAAACATTTAGAGTCTGTTCTTTAGAATATAAACTCCGAACTTCTTGTTTCTTTCAATTTTTTCTAATTTTTTCCAACTATTCTCATTTTCTTTAAACTTTTTCTACTTCCCAAATAATTAATCTAAAAACGATGTATTTTTAATGTGATTATTATTATTATTATTAGTATTATTATCTTCATTCATTATTATAACAACTATTTCAACAATTACTTTGCATCGGAATATATCCATTATTATACAAAAGAGTTGATAAAGATAGATGGTTTTAACAGCAAAGTATTTTACACAGAGTATTAAACTATAAACTAGTTTTATTGAACGTTATTTAAAATGTGTTTAAAAACCATCATATTGATATTTCTTCCGTTCCATTTTATACTGTTCGTCTTGGCCTTGGGCAATAAGCCTATAATTAAAGTGTTGGCTGTAGGGTAAATTTAGCGAAGTAATACATGAAGTGTTCGGGTTTGATGTAATACCCGAACTGCAAGGAAAGATTAGTGTATAGGAAAAAGAGGTGAAATATAGGACTGAAACGAGCAGCCGGAAAGGCTGCCCTTAAGACAACATCGGCCGCCTACCGTACTGGTTTATCGTGACCGACAATATCGGCCGCCTACCGTACTGGTTTATCGTGACAGACAATATCAGAATATTTCCCAATATTAATTATCTAACGATATCTCGTTGAGAATATTAATGAGGTTATTGGTGAAACTAACGTATCGTCGACACATGTGTATATGAGATCATACATTATAAATTATTCTAAATAAAGAATCTAACGTCGGACATGAGTCTGGGGTACAGACCTTAGACTCTATAGGGGAACGCAAAGGTCTTAACACCTCAACGTGCGGTCAACAAACGGACATCACTATCTACTTCTACTTTTCATTGTCTTGAGTTCTTTTCTTCGAACCTTGATAACGTAGAGGTAAAAGGTGTGAGGAGAGCATTAAAATGAGTATAATAACAATATGAGTGGAATATACTCATTTACCTAGGGTTAGCTTCTCAAATCTCCATTAATGGGGGAAGAAGCTAGAGGAAGAAGATGAACAAAGTTTGCAGGAATTTCTATAAATGTGGGAGTGCGAATGAGTGAAGAGGGATGGTCTCTTTTTATGGAAAAACTAGAGATGCTTTTGGGTCATCTCACACACATCCCACCATCACCATAGTCCAAGAGTGATGAGAGAGGAAGGTGGGTGTGTGTTGAGTGGGTTGGGAACAAGATGATGTGTTAGACGAGGATGATGGAATGAAAATATTTGTTTGATTGACTGGAAGGAATCCTGGGAATATTTGGGGGACGAATGTAGATTTGGGATGGATTTTTCCGTTCCGAAAGAAACAACATATTTGTTTCAATTTTAGGTTGTTTTCCAAACGAAAAACACAAATTTCTAGATTTTTTCTTCCATTGTTTACAAAGAAAAATGGGGAGAGGAAAAGTAAAAGAGTGAAAGAGACCCTAAAAATTTTATTGGCTCTTTTAAAGAGAAAGTGTAGAGAAAATGCATGAAAGGAGAGGTTTGCCCTTTGCTGCTTTTCTAACCTTCGGAGTATTGCCTCCGTCCTTGAGTATTTGTCCGGTTTTGACTTTTTCCGATCAACTATTTTTAACATTTAACCTATTATTTAATAAAATATATTTTATATATTAATTAGATAAAATAATATTTTGATAACAATTTAATATAATAAATCAAATAAAACTAATTTTGTTTCTATTTCATAAGACAAATAAAGGGGACAAGAAAACCAATGGGAGCATGGTGGATACATTTATAGGGAGAGGAAAAACATTGAGTAAATTCCATAATTGGTCATTTATAACAGGGGGTTTTCCTATTTAGTCCTCTATTATCAAATATTACTCTAGTGGTCCTTCTTTTATGAGTATCTTTCCACATATAGTCCTTTTTTTGATCTTCTATCATGTTGGTGTTAATTTGAGGGCTAAAAGTGTAATTTCACAATGAAAATATATCTTTTTTGTCATACATAATTCCAAAGGCTGTTCCGTTTGCGTCGTTTGTGAATTATAGTCGCTTTCTACTATAACCATATTCTACAAATGCGGTCTTTCGTTGGAATCTTAGCCCACAATCATAGTCATTATTTTTGTAACAACAAAACAAACAAACAACCCAGTTGAATCCCACAATAGTAGGGTCTGGGGAGGGTGTGTGTACGCAGACCTTGCCCCTACTCGGAAGTAGAGAGGCTGTTTCCAAGAGACCCCCGGCTCCACCTGCACAAAAATATGGAAGAGAACACAGTATAGCACAGATAAGGCACCAAGTACAAGCAACAAGTACAAACAATAGCAAAAGATTCCCAACAAATACAACACACTACAAAACAACCTCTACAACACCGAGCTCCTATCCAGCTACTCTAATCCTAGTTCTCCAAAGGTTCCTATCTAGGGCCATATCCTCAGTCAGGTCGAAAAGTCCTAGATCCTGTCTTATCACCTCCTCCCAATTCTTCTTAGGTCTACCCCTTCCCCTACTTCCCTCGATAATCGTAATCCTCTCGCATCTCCGTACAGGGGCGTCAGCATCCCGCCGTCTCACATGGCCAAGCCACCTCAACCTCGCTTCCCGCAACTTGTCTTCCACCAGTGCCATACCTACTTGAAGTCGGATAACCTCATTCGAAATCCTATCCAACCTTGTC